ATGATAAGAAGAAATAAATCAAATTAATGAATAAAAGAATAAAAAGAAATACATATATTGTAATTGTATTAAATAATACAACAACTTCATTTTCAATAGAAATAAAGAAATAATAAATTATAAAATAAAATATTTAAAATAAAAGAATAAATAAAATATGTTTATAAATGAATAAAAAATAAAATGAATAAAATAGAAAATAAAGAAGAAATGAATAAATTTAATAAATAATAGAAGAAATGAAAATAATAATATTCAATTTATTTATATTCATAATCAGTTGAATATTATAATAATATAATATCATAAAATGAAATAGAATAATTAATAGAAATATTAAATATGAATAAAATTAAATAATGAACAAGAAAATAATAAAATAATAAATATAAATTAAATATGAATAAAATAAAATATAAAATAAATAAAATGGAATATAAAATATAAACAAATAAATAAAGAATAATAAAAATAAATGAAAGAGAAGTTATTCATTATGAATAGTATGAGGTTATTATTAAAATAAAAACAGAAAAATTGTACAATGAGGAAGAAGGATGTAAAAATTGAAAAAGAGAAAATTAGAAAAAAAAAAGGAAAATAATAAAAGTTGTTGTTTTATTGGGTGTTGGTGGTGTTACTGTGTAAGAATAATTTGTTTTATAGTACACGTTATAACCTCAGTTGGTTATTTTCTTATTTGGTGTTGTTTTATAAAAAGTCTTGTTAACAAATCAATAACTTAAAAAATCATTAAAAGAGAGTGATTTAAATTTTGATCTCAATTAATAACAATTAGATAACACTAGATAATTGAAATTTAATTGAATAATATAAAATGATTTTTATTATTTTGAAAATAGAAAAATGATGAATTAATTGTTTATTTTATGATGTTTAATTTAATTTAAATTATTTAAAGTATGTTTAGATGATAACATCTTCTCGTTATTCAATTATTTTATATAGTTTTAATGTTTTTTATTATAATGTTTTTAATAATTATTTCATTATTATTTTAATTCTTTATTTACTTGTATATTTGCTGTTATTGTTATTTCTTCTATTTTTCATTAATTATTAAAGTATTGAATAGATATTTATTGTAATTATGATTATATTTTATTTTATTATTTCTTATTATTGTATTAATTACACTCATTTTTTTTATTCAATATTAAATTTCATCATTATTCTTCTTGTTCTAAATAATCATTTATTTCTTTTCTGTTTATTATTTTACTATTTTTCATGTTTAATATTCAATACTTTTCATTCTTTCATTTGATTTATTATTAGATATAATATTATATGAAATATTCTCATTTAGTAAATTTTTGTATAGTATTTTTAATCATAAAAACACATGTGAATTTTTAATTATCACTTTAATTCACTTTTTCATTTTAAGTTGTTGATGAAATGTTAAAATAATCAGAATATAAATCAAATGCATAATAATCAAAACAAAATGAATAATCAATTACAATTAGCAATAAATAATTTGGCAGATTAATCAAATAAATACAAACAATAACCAACAAGAATAATGAAATTAATAATCAATTTATTTTATTTATTTTTATAAATGTTTTAACATGGTTTTTGAAAATAAAATTAAATGTTATGTAAATAACTAATAATTATATTTTATTGTGATATTAAATTAATAGGAGAGATGTATTAACAGAATTTATTATTCTTTTAATTTAAAAAATGAACATTTAATTATAAAACATTTCATACAATTTTAACAATAACAACAAATAAATAAAAAGGGGGTAAATATAAATATGTAATTTTATTTTGTAATTATTTCTAATTTATCGTTCGATAAAATAATAAATTAAATATGGTAAAATGTTAAAAATTAATTTATAATTGAAAATATTGAAAAAATGAATGATGTTTTGTATTAATTAAAATATTCATATAATCTAAATATAAAACAAAATACAATAATCAAATTTATGTCATGAGAAGAAGAAAATGTAAATTATTATATTTTAATATACAACATTCATTAGAATATAAAATATGAAATAAAATAAATGAAATGATAATTTATTATTCAAAAATAAATTTAGAACGATGTCTTCATTAAATACGAATAATTAATATTTCTGGTTATTACATAATGAACGTCATACATAAACTATGTTGTTAACTTCAATTTGATATTTAAATTACTGATGATAAGAAAATAGAATTAAATTGAAAGAAAATAAGAAATGAAGATGATAATATGTTTATTAAAATATTGAATAATAAATAAAAAGAAATATATTCATTATTTATAAAAATAAGATATTGTCATTACATTATAAAAACTGAAAGTAAAATAAAGAATATAATTGAAATGAAACAAGAGATAATGTTCATTTAAATAATAACATTAAAAGAGTTAACAATTTAATGGTTAATTTAATATTGATTCATTTCATAAAATGAATGTGGTTAAATACTTTTATGTTTTAATAACATCGTTTTATTTTTTGAAATAAATGTAATTTTATTAACATTATTTTTTATCTATTATCTTAAATATTAATTGTATTTAATTAAATAATTAAATTTAAAATAACACGTATTCAAACATTAAAAGAATACAATTTATTAAAAATTATGTATGGTTTTATATATTTTAACATAAAATATAATGAAACAAATGAGGAATAAATATTTATTTTGATTCAATATTTATTTGAATTTAATTCTAATGAAAGGAAAATTGAGAAACGGAATAATTTTATTGTTGTTCGATAAAAAGAATAAAATATGATAAAAACAATAAACGTAATTTAAAATATTCTATTTTTAGTATTTAAATTAAAATAACGATAAATAATGATGTTTAATATTTTAAGAAATACAATAAAAATGTATAATTACAATGAAAAATAATTATTTTAATAACAATTATATTTTATCAATTTTGAAAATAAAATTACAATCGCTAACAGTTTATCCTGTTTATAACCAATTTCTAATGATTAAAAATACCGTTTTATTTAAAAAAGAAGAAATTATTATCATTAATTAGAAATAGGGGTAAAAGTGTAATGTTATTGATGGGTATTTAAGGTCGAACTTTAAAAGAGTTAATTCATTAAATGATTAGTCTAATACTTGTATTAATTACACTCTCATTTGGAAGAAAATGCTATTATTACGAACTCTATCAATCTGAATCACTTGTAGATACTGTTGATAGTGCATTTGAATGTATTGAAGAACCAACAATTTCAAAAGATAATAAAAAATTAGTGATTAATCGTTTGAAAAGGAACTTAGAATCATATGTATACAAAGATATATTGAAAAATCCACCAACTCAAACTGGTACGTATTATTATAACAAAGTGGATATTGATAAAGAAATAGATAAAATAAATATGGACGAAGGAAGTTTATATGAATTTTATTCACAAATTCAAAATTTATTTATTTCAGCAAAAGATCCTTTGTTGTCATTTGCAATATTACAAAAAGATGAGATTTCGATAAGAAATTATATTGCTTATTTTTATTATTTCCTTCCTTTTAATATTATGATAGATAAAGAAAAACATATGTATCTTATTCCTAAATATTATTACAAAGATACAAAGATTGATGTTCCAACAGAAATAGAAAATAATAAAAATAATTATGTTAAATCAATAAATGGAGATGATCCATTTGAACTAATTAGAAATTTTGGAATTGCTTTTAGCTCATTCAAATCTCCTCATGCACAATTTACAAATTCTAAATCTTCTACTCTTGATAATTCATTTACTCAAGGAAATTTAGTTTTATTACCATTATCAAAAGAATATTTACGTATACCACTAACAATTAAATGGGAAAATGGTGAAAGTGTTGATGTTCATTATTCAATATTAAAGTTACCAACTCCCACTCTTCATGATATGGTACAAGATAAAAATCTTCTAAAAACAAAAGAAATTGATTTAGATACAGATGATATAAAAAGTGAATATGGTGATTTAAATAATAACATTTATTGTAAAGTATCTATTAACAATATTAACACTCTTGTTATTAAGAGATTTAATGTATTCAATGACATGCAGGTACTTAAAAAATGCGTAGAGTTATTTGATTCAAATGAATATCCAATCCAAGTTATTCTTCCAGAGAATGATGGCGGAAGTGAAGGATTGGGAATATGGATTCAAAAATTATTAGCACCCAACTATGATGCTGATTTAATTTCATCAGCAAGAGAATCCGATAACACAAAAGGAATAATAACCCAAGAAGGCCTAGAAGAATACGTTGATCCAAAAACATGTATAAAAAGAGTGTTAGGCAATGTTAAAACTAAAGAAATGGCAAGTTGTCTACGTACAGCAGGTGAATACTTACCATCTGCAATAAGAAAGTTATGGCCATATTTACCAAATGGAATTAAGGAGTGGTATTGCACTAAAAAATTGAAAGAATGGTATACAAAACCAAATACCATTAAATATGGTAGTGTTAAACATGTCATTACTCAACCATCAAGACTTATTGCAGAACCACCACTTCATCAAATGAAATTAATGAAAAATCCAAGAAAACCAACAGAAATAGTAGTTTATACTGATTCATTTTGTTATTCAGCATGTTCAATAATGACAAAAGGATTAAAAGAATGGGGAGGAGCTATTATTGTTGGATTTAGTGGTGATCCTAATGGTAAAGATGAAGAATTTGAAGTAGGACAATCACCGTCAATAAGAATGAAAGAATTATTTGAAGAAGAAAATACTGATTCTGACCCATTACGCTTTTCTTTTAATTGTAGCTTTTTAGAAACATTTAGACATAATTATAATTATGATGAAAGTATTCCTAGAGAATTCTTAACAGATGTAGTAGATGAAAGAGTGAATATTTATCAATTTGATAAAACAGAAGAAGCAATAAGTGAATTTGAAGAAGAAACAAAGAAGATAATAGAGAAATATCAAACAAAATGTAATCCAAAGAATAAAAGATTAGTTAAAATAGATAATAAATGTGATAAAGAAATTAATAAAGAGCATGGACATGGAGGATATGAATGTGGAGATAAAGGAGAATGGAGTACAAAATGTGTACTTGCTTATTGTGATTCAGGATATAAATTTGATTATAACAGTAATCAATGTATTGAAGATGAATGTGTTTTTCCACCAAGTCTAAATAGTGGAATGCCAATAATGACAGTAAACCTAGTCATGATAATAATTGGAATAATCACATTAATTCTCTAATTGAAGAAGGTTTAATTTAAAATATAATTTTGGTTTAATAAAACAAACATAAACAAGAAAAAATAAAGAATGAAGAGAATAAATTAATGATAAACATAACTTTGTTTTAAATTTTGTATTGAGTTATATAATAAAATAATGATGTTGTGAATATTAAATTAATAATTGTATTTATTTTAATTGAAATAAAAATGAATATTTCATAATATTTAAATGAACGTATTATAATTATAACAAATATTGATACTATAATATTAGTAATATATTTAAAATATACATTGATATAATGTATAATGATGATTATAATTATTTCTTTACCATTTATTTGAAATGATTGAAATATAAAACTTAAAACATTAAAATATAACCAAATTAATAATTTCATTATTTTCATTCATTTCTTATTAATTTAAATAATTCTCTTATTATTTATTCTTCATATTCTTCATTATAATTTAGTACTTTTCTATTTTATATATTTTATGATTAGTTTTACGTTCAGAGTAAATTCCTTGATTAACAACATATTTATTATTTTCTGTAACAACAATTCATAAGTATTTATTAATATCAATCTCATCAAATGGTCAATTTCTTTTAAATATTATTTTAAGTTTGAGTAGATTGAAAAAAATTATTTGATAATTCTTGAACTCTTTCCAATCCACTCATTTGTTGTTTTACATTGTGTTAACATAAATCTAATATATTTATTCAAAAATAGTGTGTTAATACCCATTAGTAATTAAAATGTCTATATTTGATACATATTCTACTTTCTGTATTGTGTTTATTTTCTAATTCACCTATTTCTATTTTGAGTTTATATAATAAATCTTGATAATCATCATGTTTTAAACTCTCTGTTATCTTTTTAATATTTTTATGTGAATTGTCTATGTGGATATCTTTTTGTAATATCTGTACTTTTTCATCTGACCTTTTTTAAATCTTTTATAAAATTTTCTAACATTTAACTTTCAATAAATGTTATTGTGTATTTTGTGTTATTTACAATAATTTTACATCAACTTAATGTAATTCCAAGAATAGTTTCTGTATTTGTTAAATACAATTGCATTTAACTGCAAATTGATTAAGTATTTTCCTAAGAATTATCATTAATTTAAGTTCTTCAAATAATTTATCACTAAAAGTTCTTCTTTTTTTTTTGAAAAATAATAATTTACTCTATTAATAACAAAACAACATTGTAACATTCTCCATTCATTTAATGTTAGTTGAATTACTTACTCATCTTTTTATAGTACATCAATTAATATTTTGAATTTATAATAAACTTTTGTATGAAAACACTCCTTCAAATACCTTGTTTTATAACTCAATATAACTGTCACATTGAAATTCTTTTCAATGAAAATAACACATATTTTACCTGAATTTATTTCATTTCTATATTCAATTAATTCTTTTGTTTAATATACATGAATTTCTTTTTCTAATCAACCAGTTAAAGTCA